AAAAAAAAAAAGAAAAAAAAAAAAAGAAAAAGAAAATGCAGCGAGGGGCAGAATGGAAATAAAGAGGTAACTGTAACTCAGGGTTGGACGAGTTCCTTAAGACTCCAGATGATGTAGTCTGTCTTAGTTGACGCGACCTTACAACATTGCATAGTCATTGTGGACCTTGCCCCTAAAGTGGCACTGGGGTGATGGTGTCCCTGAAAGAGGGGGCCAAAGGGGTGAAATCCAACTAAGAAGGATAACACGCCTCCACCTAGTCGAAGACACATCATTTGTAGACGTTGAAAAGGCCTATGATTAAGTCCCTTATGATGTCCTTTGAAAGGTGTCCTGGGAGTTTGAAGGGGAATGGTCTGCTGCGACTGGCTGTTTGATTTTTGTACTAAAAATCCAAACAACCTGGGATTAGACTTTGATCAACTTGCCAACAACAGATCGAATGTGTTCCCAGCAGGGTTGGATCAGGGCTGCCCTTTATGACAGTGCAGGGATAATATGTGGTAAAGGGGGAAATAGTGATGGGTGATACCAGGATGTTTTTATCCGATATGATACCAATTACATTTTTCGTTTTGCAATACTGATACTTTGCGTAATTTTTTTTAGCCCACACAGGCTGATGCAATGTACAGATGCAGGAACCAGCCTCAGTTCTTAGAATCCTTACATTTGTTCTTATGGTTAGAAGTTCTTTTTGTTTCTGACTGCATGTATGGAACTTATCACTCCGCAGGAGGGATCCATGTGAGCTGCATGTGATAATCTGAGGATGAAATTCACCTCACACCTCTTTTGCGCACTTACATTTGCAAAAAGCAGGATCTGTACTCTAACCTCTACGATGAAGGTATACCAAACAACAGATGGTTACTTCTATCACCCAACATCGGTGCTCAAAAATCCAGATAAGGGAATAAAAAAGACTAATGTGACTCAAAATGTAATTCATGTTCAAATGTTATGGAGTAAAAAATAAGAAAAGAAAGTATGTAAAAGTGTAAAATTGCTGGATCAAATATAGTTTAGTTTTTCTGATTGAGAAAAGGGGTACTATGATTATTCAGCCCTGTTTAAAGTTTCACCCTCTGAGCTCCTAGTGAGGAACTTGTTTTTTTGCAGAGGAATTTTATTATTCAGTTTTGAGAGCCTCAATTCACTCGGAAAATGAAGGTTGGGCATCTTCATTGCATGACAACACTTTTTTCAGTGGTCAGTAGGCTATCTCTTAGCCTAATGGAATGACAATGTGTAAGATAAGATTTTTGAGAATCTGTTTAAAATTCACATCTTAGGAAGATACATTTGACTGTGTGACTGTGTGAACACCTTCAAAGAGAGAGACACATTTTAACAAAACATTCTAAGCATCACTGATATACTGTAATATTATATTTTTTATAAATTATCATTATCATGGTTATAGTTCACTTTGCAAATTCAGAGCGTGTGTTGATCATTGAGGAAACCGATTGGCAGTGGATTGCATTCTCTGGGTACTGTATAGTCCTTGAAAGTCATACGGGCAGAAAATCAGTCTGCAGTTAATTATGGTCTGACATTTATTTGGCACGGTTGCACTGTAAACAGATTAATCTAGTCCTCGGAATATGGGTGTCGGTAAGTCAACGAGCATGGAAGTCTTATGGATACTAATAAACTGCAGAAATGTCAAAGTGTGTGTTCAAGTATCATGAAACACTAACTGGCACTTTCCCAGTCCTGGACTCCTCTCCACTGTGCTCTTGAATAATCGGCTTGTCATGGCTTGTTGGGCTGCACCTGCCCAGACTGACACTGCCAATTAGGATCATTCAAAACAGAGGCAGCGCGCTTTAAGTGAACCATTTCACACCACGTTTGTTTCTCTCGGCTTTGAAAATTAAACAAGAGACCAGTTCCAGGCTCACTCTACTCAAACAGATTCAGACAAATATGCAGAAATATTGCCAAAGGCATGAGAGTCCGGCAGCTCAAACAAAAAGGCAAACAGGGTTCTGATTCAAAGTGAGTGGCAGAAAAGTAAGAATGCTGAGTTATTAGTTTCAGCAAACTTCAAGTTAGTGGTTATTTGGCTACATCTGGTTGACATAATAACTGGTACCAGGTTATTTAATGATAATTTCAGTAAAAAACTGTATGAAGTCTGTGTGTGCAGTGGTGTCACTTTATCTATGTATATTTACCTTTAAACTGTCTGCCTTACTGTTTCCTCTGCTCTGCTAATTTCTATTTCAGTCTATTGTGGTTGTTCTTTCCACCATCAGCTCAGTCTGTTTCCTAGAACTTTAGACTCTGGTTTGGTTCCTGCACTTTACTGGTAAATTGTTATTTATATTATTCATTAGATGTTCAGTTACTGCTATGATCTGCGGCTTCCAATAACTGTGGTCTGCTTTTTTTGAAAGCTGAAAAGAAGCAGAAATTTGAACAAATGTGGATACCACCTGCCCCCGTCCCCCCGAAAATCGGGACAAATTATATTTTAAATCTATTGAACTAAAATCAATTATAGTCATATTTTGTTTTGAATTTAAATCAATAACAAAAAGTTCAACAACAAAAGTGCAGTTGTGTCATCATCACTTAAATCTCGAAAATGTTCCACCTGTCATGTCTCTGTTCCCCACCAGGGGGGCCTGCCTCGTACTTTGAGTAGCTCTGCTTCACATAAACAGTCTTTTAGACTAGGGATTAGAGCTAATGTCAAACGTGACCCAAATCCCTTCTGTTACTTCAGCTGCAAACTTTTGGAATGAAACCACCCTGGCATACTTCTCTGCCACTCCTGACTTCCACATACAGTATCTGAGTCCCTCCCTGGGCACCGAACAATATGATCTCAGAAGATCCAGTTTAATGTTCACTACCTAAGGCTTTGTCTTTTGTTCATTTTTTTTTAGTTTACGTTCTATAAATTTAGGTTAATTACACACACATTTCTCAGCTCTTTGTATTAAAGTACAATCTTTGTTAGCTTCCCTCCACGACTTCTCTGTCATCGCAGAAAACAGACAGCAAGCACACGTCTGCCATCCTCCACCTCGGTGGCTTCTGCTGGGGAATTGGAGCAAACGCTGTCCAATGTAGCAATCCAATTATAAAGCAGGGCTCAGTTACAAGGTTGCTATGACAGAATCAATGAAAACAATATAGGAGAGTCCCATTTTATACACGTGAGACTAAGAAAGGTCTGCAGAGCTTACTTTAAGGAAAAAATGTCAGGATTCAAGAGAAAGCCATCAGCAAAATGGCTGAGAATGAACTCTGAGTACATAAAAGAGTGTCAAAAAATATGTAAAATGCTGTGGATATATAATCCGTCTAATCTGCTATTAGTGTTTTAGCTAAAGCAGTTTGCGGATATTAGTGAGTAACATTGAACAGTGGCATATTAAGTAGTTCTGGACCTTCTGATTGAGAAACCTTACCTTACTTAATTTAGCCACGTTTTCTCACCATGGAGGCTATGTGTCCTTCTCTGGAGTTAGATTTAGATAGACTGAGATAGACCAACAATGGTAAATAGAATAGTATTAATCAACATGGTGGTCAGGTTTCCAATGATGTCATTGGCAGCAATGTCTAAGCAGTATGAGTAGGAATTTGTTTTTGTAGATGTCTGTGAAAATTAAGGGATGGTTTGATCAAAAATGTTCACGTCTGATACCGATACTGCAATTTGGAGTATCTGCTGCCATTCTTGAGGTGATAGAGTTTAAGGCGTATCATGAAAAGTGAAGTTGAGCATTTGGGCTCAGAGTCTACCAATTCTGAGTATCTGATCATGCCAACCCTACCATGCTAAATGAGCCCCAACTAGGCCACAGTTCGGATCCTTTCTTAAAAAAAATCCTTTCTTAAAAAAACAACGGCAATGACAGCCTCAGTCAGAGCCACTGTCTTTTTAACTGGATATTAACATTAGATCCTCTACACATTCAACTCAATGCACATTGTACTTCTTGCACCATGAGTAAATATCCTCACTCAATATCCTTCCTTTTGTTTTTGCCTCAGTGCATCAAACAGCCTTTCAGCCAATTGTATGTGTTGCACAGGACGGACCACAGCAGGCCCATTTGGCAGTGTTTCAAACTAGTGTGGAGGAGGATGAAGGCCTGCTTTTCTTGCTTCCTTTCGAACGTGGCAATGCAGGGTCACACTATACACTCACAGCCCACGTGTGAAGAGAAAAGCAAGGCTGAAACAAACTGCCCACATGGTGATTGGTGATGGCAGAGGGGATGCCACACTCGCTGCTCCAAACTCTTTGTTTTACATCACATCATGGTTTTTCACATAAATGAAATGCTGTTATTTCATGTCCCAGCCCTGGTAATTATAGTTAAGGTTCACATCCCTGATTGGAGCTTTTGCATAATCAGTAGTCCTTTCATTATTTTAAATATGATAACACCAGGAAATCTCTGATATTACTGTTGTTGTACTGGACTCATTTCAGTGAAATCCAAATACTAATGTGAATACACTGTGTTTTTTTTTTGTAGATATAGGGGAAAAGCATTTTTCTACATGAAATCCCTCCAGGAAAATAAAGGTTCAAATGGTTTCAGCAATGTTTGTGTGTACCACCTTTTTTTTGGAAGGAAAAATAAAAATAATTGACTGACCACGAGAGAGCTCGGCTGCATTGCCCCAAACTTCCTCCTACTTCCCTGTTCTTATCTCTGAGGAGTGTTTACTGGCAGTAATTAGATCATTAATCAACTTAATGGCACATCCCTGAAAGGACTAACTGTACTCTCTTCCACAGAGTTTTCTTGCTGCACCAAGGGACTCCCCCGGAGGGTGAGACACCGTGGTTCACGACTGGGGACAGCTCGGTCAGCCCACCCATCTGGCAGAGTCAGAGTTTGAGCCTCCATCTCGGACACTGACATATCCTGGTTCTGCCAACACAGTTTGAGAAACTACTACAGCAAATAGGATCTGTTACAACATTACAGATGCAGGACATAAGATGAAATTGTCTTGAAATACATTTTTAATTTAACAAAAACCAAGAAGTCATTCTAATCTGAGGGCTTTGTACTATATTAAAAAACAAAATTATACTTGTATTGAGGGGACTCAAGTCTTGGAAAAACATAAAAAGTCAAACAAAAAAATAATCTTGAGATCGGTAATCCTGCCACCCAGATGTCAATCACATGGGAGCTGTAATGCAAAAAAGGTTATTAAATATAAACCAAAATAACAGAAATGGTACCAATGATCACCTGAATTAAAACAAAAATAAGTACTGTATTTTTTACTATTGCTGAACCTTATGCGACCTATAGTTTTTTTTCCCCCGACGGTGTGAGGAATTGGCTTTGCGTCAACCTGGTTTGGCCAGAGACTTAAGTTAACTGCCTTAAGTTATTTCCTCATAATCATAACTATATAACTATTTCTAACTAATCAAACATTAGTAGAAATGACATGGATTTGGCTTATGTAAAAAGTATTTATAGAAAAATAAACAAAAAGCAAAACAATCTAGAAAAATAAAATACATATAAAACAGTTGGAACCAAAATCTCTACAAATTTCCTCTCCTGCCTGCAGCGACCTAACAGATCACGGTCTCCTCAATCACCAATTAGAGAAGCAATGAAAGCCTGATATTGTCCTCGTCCTTCCTCAGCTCAGCACTGTCATTTACCGTTCCATCTCCCATGTCCTCATGCTCATGTTTTGCCAGCAGGCCAGAGCTCATCCCATCACTGCTAAAAAGAACAACCATGGCATAATTGCTTGTCAGATCTGTCTGTGTGTCTTTGCTGCATGGCAACCTGACAAGAAACACATATTTATGCCTTAAAATGAAATTACAGGCCATTGGGGAGCAGGGGCTTGGAAAACAACGCCTGCTATTGAGCTGTCTGTGTCGATGAAGTCCTTTAACTCTTTACAGACTTGAATCAAAGAGAAACAGAAACGGGAGAGCTGCACACCTGGGTTCCTTTACAGACAACAAACAGAGGTATAATATTAATGAGGATAAACATTTATCCAACTATTATTTGCTGTGACCCACCTTGTATAATTACAGTGACTTATTCAGATGAAGGGACACATTTCCGGAACATGTGCTTATTAGCGTTCAATAAGACATCTGAGCAGTTTTACGCTGATGCGTTCTAACTTTGTTATTGACTCTTATTCAATTTATTCACGCTCAATTTGGCGTAATTATATTGACATTTTCAGTTTTAATGATTTGTGTTTATTCAGACAACCTTGGGTGCAGGTGTGATAAACGCCTGGGTGGCTGATATCAGGCACAGATGCAAATTTGACGCCTTCATTTTGACTCACTCATTGGGCGCAGCAAAGATGCCAAGTCGGGGAAAGTCTCACAGGATGGGTGTGAAGAAAAGGTCCTTTCAATCACAGCCTGAAGGTAAAAAAAACTTGTCAAATTGAAACTCAGACATTTCTTTTACACCAAACTTTTGAATCTGTCATATGCTGAGCTTGTAGACTGACCTCCATTATCCAGGTTGGGAGGAGATAAACTACAGTTAGCCAAACTCAAAGGCATCCCAAAAAAATACCAACAAAAAACAAAAACTCCACCCGGGAAGAAATGTCTACAAAATGATAGGGTGTCATGAAGGCTTTGTTGTTTTATCACACCGGCTCAGATAATTACAGACAGGTAGGAGCTCCCAGGTGTTTTCACTGACGGTTGTCTTCTGTTTCCACGCACCTGTTGGCACTGTGCCAAGGCTCTTCAAGGAGAAACTCTTTCTAAAAATATGGTGCACGCTAAAATCTGTAATTTAGCAGAACGCTCGAACGAAACCCTATTCATTAAACCTAATCTTCACACACACACACACACACACACAAATACACACATGTAATATGTATATAGAACATAATAAAACTATAATCACAATATAAGGAATACCAATAAAAGCAGATAGATTTACCTGCTTGATATAACTTGTCACTTATGCAGAAGATGGAATTTTTAATATCACAAACATGTCAACAAATAGGGGCAAAAATAAAACACAAACTTAATTAGTGTATTTAAGGTGTTCACTTTGTAATCATGTCATTTAATTTGGGACAACCAGAAAACAGTATAATTAATACATTTTTAGCATTTAAATAAAAGCAAAGATGTTTAAGACACCAACAACATCTTTTAACTAAATAAAAAGGCACTAAAAACTTTCTCTTCATTTGTTTTTATTCAATATTACTTTTATATTTCTACATTTTCTACTGCTTGGAATGGCTCGATCCAATACTCAGGATAGGTATCGAACAGAGTTTGGTCAAAACTTCAAGAGCAATAAAAAAAAAAAACCAACCAGTCAGATCTGATCTAAGCCCAAATGCTCAATGTAACTTTGATCTAAATGCAATGAATATTATCAACCCGCTGGAGGAGAAAAGAAGGTATCAGGATTGATATCAGTATCAGTAGATGCTTCAAGTTGCAGTATCAGTATCAGGCATAAAAACGTTCAATTGAGCCATCCCTACAAACAACCCTTAGTCTCCACTGCCGACACTGATGTGGAAGATCCTTGGGTCTTTGTCTAGAGTACAGCGAACAGAATGTGTCAAACAACCATGTTTGCCCTGTTTGTAGATCTTAACTCTCCTGCCCAGTGTTTGTCTTTGGTTGTAGACAGATCTGTTACGGCCTTAGTGGTATTTTTGGGGATAAGGAGTCATAAGGAGCAAAGATGCGGAGCAGTGATGTGAGAGGGGTGGTGATGGAGAAGCCTATGATTGATATTCCCATTAGCCACCTGACAAGGTGAGAACAAGGCTCTGATAATGAATTGTGACACATTAATGAGCTTGTCTTGCACAGACAATACCTGATCAGACCCCCGCACCGTTTAACCTTTGGTACCAGTGATGGGAATTAGACACAGATATGGGCTTTTCGTGTCATTTGCGAAGGCAGAACATGACTTTCCGACTTTAGTCGATAAGAAGACTTCTGGGGAGGACTTTAACGTCCGCCCATTCCAATTCTCACGTGTGACTTTGCAGGGTCCCAGCATGCATATGTATAAAACCGGGTGCAGCACTTGTAAGGTGCTTAGGTTGGTGGCTCATTGGGACGCTGGCAGTGCAATGTGTAATCCCGTGGGGAGCTCATTAGAATCAGCGCAGAGTAGAGGGCCACAGACAGGGTCAGGACAAACGGCAGTGCTGAGCTGCATAGTGATGCCTTCCACTCCGTCTTCATGTCTGTTTGCTTTGGCCGTGTGTCACTTCATATGAGCCCATGGCAGATGAAAGATTGGCTCGCTCAAGCACTTGACAACCATGTCAAACACACACACACTCACACACGCGCGCGCACACACAGATAAACACACACGCAGAGTAGCTACGTACAAGTGTACGTCTTGGTTTCAGATAGAGACTTTTTGGAAGCAATCTGTGTGAATACTCACAGGCTGTGTGAATGTGTGCAGTGGTCTGCATAACAACAGGTTCTAAATAGAAATGTCTGGTTAGAAACACAGAGTTGTCATCATCTAGTGTGCTTTGTATGACAATAAGAGTCAGAGAGTGAAGTGAATCATGTCACACTGCCCTAGAGACTCATTACATCTTTATCTTTTTAAACTAGGATTATGTACAAGTCCAAATATTTACTAATATATTCAGTGGACCCCTCCCTGAAATTTTCTGTTTTCTATGTTATGAGTCTGCAACAATTGCAAGATTTTGCTCCTGGTTTGAGGAAATATCTAGTTATGAGTGCTAAACCGAGGAATGGCATCCAATCAGTCATACAGCATGGGGCAGCTGAGAGCTCTGATGCCAAAGCAGCTGCCGAGTTCAACAAAAACTTTTATTGTTTAATAAAGTAAAAAAAAAACCCTATATATATATATATATATATATATATATATAATCCTTCTCCTAAACTTAGTAGCCCCGAAACTCTGTCACGCTGTCTCACTCACTGTGCCTCGCTGGGTTATTGTACCCATTTTTATAACAATAAGATAAAAGGTTTTCGTAATTATTATTATTTTATATTATCAGTATCTTTATTCTATGTTTTTGATGTTTAGATGGGGGGTTATTTAATTAATTAATAGTATATTTCTAGGGGAAGGAAACAAATTTCTTGGTTTTTAGTTATTTTTAATGGGGAAAATTTGATTGAGATACAGATTGAACTTGTATTAAACTTGTATTAAACTAAGATTAAACTTGTATCTCGGTCAACTGTAGTCACAACAAAGCATGTGGACAACACAGAGAATGGAGTTCCTTTAGAAGAACTCTTTAACATGCAGTATAAACACACAATATATATACCCAGATGATATAACTTTTCAACACATACAGTTCCTCTACCAAGTGAAACCCTACATGGGAAGGTCACAAGACCATGTTTTTTTTGCTTTAGAAAAATCTCAGTTAAATCATTCCAAGTCCAAAGCAGCATGATTTACCTGAAGAATAAACAAATAGATTTCAGAAATCTAGTCAAAAAAAAGTAAAAAACAAGTTTTATTTCATCTATTTTTAATAGACAGTAGTTATGCTTGTTCAAGTCAATTAGTGACTTAGAGTTAAAGCAGTGTTTTTCAACCTTGGGGTTGAACCTTGGGGTCACCTGAAATGTCTAGCAATTGATAAAAAAAAAAATACTGATAGAAATATTTTACAACTATTTATTATTCTATTAAAAAGGAACTATTTGAAAAAAAAGAAGGTATTTTTGCAGAAGTCTCTGGGGTCAGCCAAAAAGTGATGATGTCAAAATGAGGATCAGAAGCGGAAAAAAAAAGAAAGGCGGTAAATATTAAAAATCACTATGATTTGACATCAATCCATCAACACTATTTAAACTGCATGAGTATTTTTAGTCGACAGTCAAGAAGAAATCAAAGCAAAACAACATGCATTTGGTGGAAGAAAAGAAAAATTGGTTTTCAACTTTTATCTAATCAATGTTCAGTAGAGCAGATGGTAACGGATGGGTTTAAAGGTCAATGATTTAGGATTGTGTCGCAACAGAAGGTAAAAATGTGGAGAGAGGGTAGTGTACCTACTGACAACCATGGGAATGGTCATCAAATGTCTAATAAATGGTGTTTATCTTGGTGGATAACGGAAGTTTGAGAGTCCGTCCAATCACAAACTTCCTCCAGGTCCATGTGGTTCTTCCTGCATTTTCAGTGCCCTGATGTTTATCACATTCTTTGGCTGATGAGTCAGAAAATGAAGTATCTCCTGTACCCTAAATGCTAAAGTTAACTGTACAAGTTTTTCCACTTTTCTCACTCTGACAAACATATGGTTTACAGTGTGGGATTTCCTCCAGTCTCCTCCAAAACACATCATCGAAATTTACAAGTTCATAAGCTTCCAGCTTTTACCTCGTGACATTGACTTTTTTAATCATTAAATCGCAACTTTGTTTCTCATGACGGTCCGACTTCATTCTCCCAAATTTACAACTTTAATCTTGTAATTTTACTCAGTTATTTTCTCTATGTGGCCCTAATACGCTGTCATAACAATCTTAACCATTATCTTTTCATGAATCTTATAATCTCATGAGGTTATTTAATAAGATTTCACTGATGGCCTCTCACTTGTAATCATTTTTTAAATAACCATTAGCTCGAAGTTAACTCACAGTTAACACTGTTGTGCTGCCGTGATCTTCAGTCGTTACCTAAACCCGCTCCTTTGGATTTGACTGTGTTTTCCTGTTTTCTTCCCAGCTACATTCATTTGGATGTGTATTAGTAGGAACACTTGTGTCCTTGCTCTTTGAAAACTCTTTGCTTAAAGTTGTATTATGAAATAATTAAGGAGTATGGGAGGAGTTGGGGAGAGTCATAAAATTAAAGTAAGTTTTAATATGGCAGCAGATAAACAAAGACCTGCTTTTCTGCTTTGTTTACAGTCGACCAGCTTGTTCATCACCGTTGCTGGAGATACTTGGACGCTGAGGCGAGCAGGAGCAGGTGCTCCACTGCCCACAGAGAAGTTTTAACTGAAATGGATGGTGGAGGGCGAGGAGGGGCCAGAGATGCTGTTATTGCTGCACAAAAGCCGGTGGACACATAAAAAGTTTATCATCTGAGTGAGCGGAGAGTGAGCTGGCTAATGTCCCCGGGCAATCACAACATTGTCCAATGAAGTCTGATTGACTCCATACATCAAAGTGTGTGACTGCGAGCAGGTCTGAACCTTGGAGAATGTGTGCGTGTGTGTGTGTATACGAAGAGAGAGCTCAGAGAGAGGCTTTGTATGCTCTCAGGCGACAATGGAATTTCACACACACACACACAGAAGCTGAAGACGAGGGTGTAATTGGGAAAGTGCAGTAAAAAATGTTTGGTGGAGAGCAGTGGCGGTGGCGACATGGTCACAGCAACTCAGTCAGAGGGCAGGAAGGAAATGAAGAGTTGGGCACTGGAGGGAGGGGGTGCAGGCAAGGTATGGAAAGAACAGTGGGATGGCAGACTTGATTGGAATCAACTGCAACCTGTTTGTTGTTTGGACCCCCCCCCCCCCCCCCCCCCCCCCCCCCCCCTCCCCCCCCCCCCCCTCCAGGCGCTC